TGGGAAATGCATGAATTGATTGTTGTATCATTACAAACAAGGCATCGTTACAAACCATATTAACTTTCCTTGATTATAAATACCGCTAACTTGTTCTTCCCTCTCATGTTTGTCTTTTTTGGTTTCCTTTCAGTATTATTTGTCGAGTCTCTCATTGAAGTTTTGTTTGTATCTTCTTTGCTTTCATTCTCAAGCTTGGTCTTTGTCTTTTTTGGCTAAAAAGTGGGAGAGTAGTGTTGTTGGGTCTTGTTTAGTGTTGTTGAGTGTTGCTTCTCCTTGCATGCAACAATTAAGGGGAGTATGACCATCTATCATAAAGGTTTTATGTTTCTTCGTCTGATGGTTCTTCTATTGTGGGTGTATGCATGATGTTGTACAAAATGTTTTAACATCCTGTTTGGTGTGTTCTTTTTTGCTTTTGTCACATGATCTTCTAATATGTGCTGCTTCTGTCACATGGTATTCTAACTTGGATTATTCAAGTTAGAGTTCTTTTTGGTTTCTTGAGGCTACAAGAAAATTATCCTGGGGCTTTGTGATAAGAATTGGTTCTGAGTTTTAGGGAGAGTAACTTGGGAAAGATATAGGTTATCTTTTTCCTCATGTACACTAACTAAAGGATATAACTGGTGTTATGTCTCCCCGGTGATGTGTTCTTCTTCAGTGTGTTTGAGAAAAAAAGTGTTTTAGGCAAATGTTTTCCCAAGAGGTGATGAATTATGATTCTCTATTGAACCTGTGTTGCTGCTGTTGAGGGGGAGAATCTACTAATTCTCTGTTGTGTTCTGAGCAGGTTTGTAAGGGAATTTTAGCTCTAGTTTGGACTGGTTGTGAAGAGTTGTCGGACATGATGTCCATATATATTGAGAAGAATTTATTATTTTTTCTCTTGTTTCTGTGTTGAGTATCTTCCACTAGCTGATACTCTGATATTGTTGCTGCTCATGTCTTTTATTGAATTGATTTCTATTGCTGCTGATGTGCCTCTGATATTTGTGAGCTGTTGTGTTGTTTATATGAGAAAGGAGTATTAAGTTGTATTAGTAAAAATAAGCCAAAGGGGGAGATTGTTAATTCTCTATTTTTGTAGTTGGCATTATATTTGGTAAAACTAACTTAGCAGAAACATGTTGAAATAAAATGTTCTATCAACTGAAGAAACATGTTGAACAAGATATCCTATGCACAATCATTCGACATTGCGCCTGTGTACAACTGGACAACTGGATGTGTTAGTTTTTTATAGATGCAAAATATTCTGGGACTATTATGATATTCTATGTGGCGCTCAGTTTAAGGATTACAATATTCAAGCTTAATTCAAGGAGTATTCTTAGTTTCTAATTATGGAGATAATTTAGGAAACTAATGATTGAAGTCCTATTTTTATGCAAAACGTTCTGCAGATTTTTAATAACTGATTTGTTGCGGTTTTGAAGCCCATATCAAGTTCTCTCAAGGTTATAAAAGGAAGACTTCAATCCTAATACAAGTGTGGATTGTATTGTAACTTTTGTTTGAGTTTTAGGGTTTTTGTTTCTTGTGAAGTATGAGACACTCTTGTATTGTTTTGATACTTGAGTTGGATTGTCTCTATTAAGCTATAAGTATTGTCAATCACTCTTAAGCTTTTATGTATAGAGTGATTGTATGTTTTTGAAGTTTGTCTTCTAAGTCTTTTAAATTGTGTTCTTGTCACTATTTGTGGCTGTAAGATAAGCGAGAAAGGTCTCATACCTAGGTGAGTCTTAGGTAGATGTAAGCATGCGTAATGATTAGGTGAGAAGTTGTAAATGGGTAAGTTTAACTTCGAATTAATACTATTATAGTGGACTTCCTCCCTAGCTTGGTAGTCCCCAGAGTAGGTGTTGTTGTACACCGATCTGGGTTAACAATTCTGCATATTGTTTATTTTATGCATTGTTAACTGTTTTAAATTGTTCATTGTGTTGTTGCTTAGAGATCAGTGTCTCGACATCTCTTAGGACATCTGTGATTTGAATACCAGAATTTCACTCTCCATTATTAATGAACAAGTCACAAGTTCTGAAATATCTATTTTCTTTGTGATCGTGTAAGGTAAAAATGAGTCTGAGGTACGAACAAAGGGATCAAAGCTCCAACACAAAGACTCAGGGGTGTTATCATAAATGCTACAAATGTATGATTAAAGTAATAAAAATCCCATAATGCAAAGCCCATACACAAGGAGCCTCCCCGGTCTGGTTGGCAATGTAAAAAAAATCCTCCTCTGAAGTAGATGCCCCATGTTCTTTTGGGGTACGGGGTCACGACCTAGCCAAGAAGACAGGAGCCAGAGGATCCAACATATGTGATGCTCGTCGAGAATCATTAAGGACACCAACACCTCTAGCAGGTCTCAATGAGGTTTCCCCTCTAGAATTTGGCAGAGATCGAAGAGGAAAAATCCTTGCCATCCCAGCCGAAGGTGGAACATCGACCAAAATTGAAGTGTTTGAAGGACCAGTAACAACCAGGGTGACTCAAAGTCCCCGTCTTAGTTGGAGGATTTCTTCCTTGTTCCCCATTGAATATGCAAATAACGACTACCAAAGTTATGAGCATTAAAGATAACCAAATTGACGACATGGGGCAAAATTACCAGAAGCTCACCAAATATGACCTCCCTATCCTCCTTAGTACTAACGTCCATCAGATAACGAGTTTCAACAAGTTTCTTCAAACATTTCCTTGAAGTTCCATCCTAGGGAGTGATGACCCCGACATGTCCCAACTATTTGAAGAAGGTGACCAACCGTTTCTTCTAATAAAGCTCCTAATATAAATCACTCTTCTTGTAGACGTATGATTCATTCCATATTAGAAAATGACATTTGTTATAGTAATTATGAAACAAACTGATACACTTGTCTCTCGTCTCATTTCATATGGTACATACGGCCGCATGAGCCTCTTTGAGGAGAGGAACAACCAAGAAGAACTGGTTTTCGAAATGCTTCAGGCTCTCCAAAAACACTCTGCAACAACGAGTAACCTGCACCAGAGTAATCAAACCCTGATCCAACGTCTGGTTTACTGAACTACATTGTACTCTAGAAAGATGGAAGAAAGGGACAAAGAGAGTTTTTCCCCTTGATATTCATTCCATTACTGAAAGACTTTAATATATGCCTAACTCACAGTTTCACATGCGAATGAGCGATCATTAAGTGATTTAAAATCTCTATCTTAAAGTTGTTAAAGTGAAAGCGGAAATCCAAGATCGAAAAGGTGCACTCATAGAAAGGAATAATGCATCCATCATACTTACTACAAATCCTTTTGACTTCCTCAAGGATCAGTACACACCAATTTGAAGAAGGGCCTACATCCAGAAAGACTCTATCAAGACTACCTTCTTAAGCAAAAGTAGAGGCACTTGTTGAAATGACAAGATCAACCCAAGAAGTGGAAACATCTTCTTTTGATTTTCAACTCATAATAGACACTACTTCCGTCAGTTATAGAAAAATAACATGTTATAGAAATACATATGACAAAGAAGCAAAAATAACGTCTCAAGAAAATGCATAACTAACTCTGTAGAGATCGTGTGATGACTTACCAAAAAGTAGATAATCACTATCAACGGTTCATATCGCCTTAGAATGAAACTCGAGTATTTCATTTTCTAAAGAGCGTAACTTTCCAAGGACATCATCGTCACCTCTTGGCTTTTCATTCAAGTCGGGATGTGACACGAAAGGGAGAATATGAAAAAATTTCTCGGACTTCAAAACAGAGACAAGGGCTTGGTGGACAATTGTTCTGGGCTGGCCAAAAAGGCCAACGATCGTGGCCCATCGAAGACAATAAATCATCAGTTCACTCGCAGCGTAGGAGTGTTATCTTAGAGAATAGCGTAAAAGATCTAGGTCCAAGATACATCCAACGACTCCCTGCATCCTACACCTAAAGAATAGCGGTTGTTACAACCGCACCACTATATAAAGGAAGACACACTATTCTCTAGGTACACAAATCAAATTCAAACTTCACTCACTCATCTTATTCGTATATTGACTTGAGCGTTTGAGTGTTAATCTTGCAAATTATATCCTATACCTTACCGCATCGAAAGCTCAAGTCTATCGTTGCACCTCACAACTTCCAATCTCTGATTAATTCTGGTTCCAACGGAGAATGGTACCGATATCCAATCAAAATTCATTGGTATAAAAAAAATTTACCTTGTTTTTTTATAATTTACACGTGTTTAATTTTTCTATGCTTACAAAAATAACTGAAATTTCATTTCTCTCCCACATGCTATGGCATCAAGAATCTTCAAAGCAAAATTTACCATAGAGGAATTTTTTATGAATGCTCTTGGGGGCTATTATCTAATTAAGCTATTCATGGTGTAATGTTTATAATGCACATGTTTTGATTAATGAAGGATGTGTGTGAAGAATGTAGATAAAAATGATAAAAATTTATAGAATGAGCCTTTGCTTATGAATAGAAAAATGCCGGAGTTCAATGATTTCACTTTAGTCCATTTTTAAATTTAAAGGTGAGTTCAATGTTGTTGCAGCATCATTGGAAGGATCACATGCAAATGAGGTTTTGAATTTTGTTTTCATGAATTCTGTATGATAAGAATAATGTGAATGTATATAATAATATCTACAACTTTATATATAATAAAATACAGAAAATATCTCTACATATCCAGAATAATGTTAAACGAGTCTCTTCTGACTTCTCTGTACATTTTCCACTTTCTTATTCTCCCACCATGCTTTGTTTTGCATATATCTATGATCTATCTATAAAGTTGAAGAAAAGACACAATCCATCTTTCACTTCTATTTCTTGTCACATTGCAACATTCTTATATATGATACAGAAACACCTACATCACCTTTGTGAACAAAAACTTTATGCTAATAAGAAGAAATGTTCTAGGCTTAGGAGCAAGTATATGTATACATGAATATACTTCTAATGTACTCTTCTATGTCATCATGTAATAATCATATTTCAATATCTCCTCCTCCTCCTCCTCCAGGGGTGTCACTTGGAGGATCAATTGAAATCCAAAGCAAAGCAATAGTAATGGAAAGCAACCCTGACCAAACATAAACAATTGTAGGAACCCTTCCTCTCCTACCCATCAACCCTTTAGCAAAAGGGTACATATGAGACAGAACCCAAAAACTAAAGAACATGCTTCCCAGAAGCTTATTCCACTGAGGTATAACACTGTAAACTGTCCTCAAGAATCCCATGACAAGTGCGACCAGGTTGATAATGATAATCGTTAGCGGCATAATGAAGAGACTAGTCCATTTAACTAGGTAGAGATCGGCGTAAATATCATCAACGTCTTCACCAGATGATTTTGTTGTTAACGTAAATGAAATCTCGATTCCTGCTATAACCTTTAGTAATCCCTGTATGACAGCGACAAGATGAGCACTGGTTCCACCAATGACCCAAAACTGTTCGTTTCTCCACCATTCTTCGAGGCCGATTCCCGACCATCTTACTTCAAGAAGTGAGATAAGAGTGAGTGTGATTGTGATGAGAAGAAGGTAGGTTAGAAATGCTACATTTAGGCCTTGGACTATGAATTGTCCGGAGAAAAGTGATAACGCTGGAAGGAAGCAGTATACGACTAGAAATAGTGAGGTGAAAGGGTAGATTCCGACGTTAAGGTATGCGATTCTCTGTAGGAACTTGAGGCGTCTACTTGCGAAAATAGCGTTGTTTCTTGAGAAGAAAATTTCTACTGAACCTGTTGCCCATCTTAGCACTTGGTGTAGACGATCAGTGAGATTTATAGGCGCTGTTCCGCGGAAAGCATCTCTTTTTGTGATGCAATATATCGATCTCCATCCACGATTGTGCATTCTATAACCTGTTACGACATCTTCAGTCACTGATCCATAAATCCAGCCTATTCTATCACCCCATTCTGTTTTATCTTCATACCTACGTTAACACACAAACACATTCATTGGCGAGTCTTCAACAAAGCGAGTGTTTGATAGAAAGAAAATGTTTAAGAGAGATAGCAAGGAAAATTACCAGCATGAGATGACAGCAATTGCCTCGGCTACAGTTGGAGCATCCAAAGGTGGACGTGGCACCAGCAATGCACCAGCTGGTCTACCATTCCTCACAGATTTATGATCAGCAAGTGGCCTAGCTTGGAACTCAGCTATAGGTATGGTATCTGTGAACATGGTCGAGTTTCCAAATTTTTGAGGTAAACCCATTTCTGAATCAGATGTTAAAGGCTCGTTATCATCGTCTTCCATATGTAACCTTGCTTGATTTGGATTATGGTTCACCTTGGTTTTTACTCTGCCAAATACACCTGTGTGTTCAATGAATCTTGGTGGTTCAAATCCATAGAGTGCATATCTCCTAAACATGCAACCTGTTCCGACATACATTGGACCTTGTAGTCCATCCAATGCTCTCATATTTCCTAATGAAATACATTGTTAAATATAAATAGGTACTTAATCATGGTTCTAAATTGCAGTTATGCTGAGTAAACCTTAATAACGCGACAAAACATACACAAAGGCTAAACATAGATGAAAGCTTGAATTACCATCAAAGAAGACAGTATTGTGATTTGCATATCGATCGGAGGGATCAATCCCTTCGAATCTTTGTGGAAACTGAATGTAACATACACGGTCACCTCCGCGGTCCAACATGAAGCACATTCCCTCCTTCAAAGCATGTGAATTGTAGATGTAGTGGTCACAATCCAAATTTAGTATGAAAGGGCCATTTGACAAAATAGCAGACGCTCTAACCATGGCATTCATGGCTCCTGCTTTCTTGTTATGATCATACCCCGGTCGCTTCTCTCTTGAAACATATGCAAACATTGGAACCCTGATGTCTACTCCTGTGAAATCTAGTCTTTTCTCATCTGCATGGCCCATTATAGGGTCATGCTCTGGTACTTTACTCATCACCTGTTAAGTTGGAAACATGGTCATTCAATATTCTCTATGATAAACTTTTGAAAACTCTAGCATCATATGATTGTGTAATATCCTCTCCATAACATAATTATTTTCAAAATCATGACAATCAGGTTTCACTATAGAAAAAAAAAGTTTAGGTGAGTCAGATCGTGAGGACTCATCGAGTATAGGCTCAGAGAGCACTAACAAAAGTACTTGCAGATTACTAACCAATGAAGTTCCTACATCAGCAGAGAGAGTTGAGCCAACTCCTTTGGGGGGAATTGTTATGAGTCAACATCATTCTAGCACCAAGTTGATCTAAGTATAAAAATTTGATAAGTAAAAGGAGAGAGAAAATGGTACCTGCAAGATTCCAGCATGGTCACCTTTTGCATGATCAGCTGTAGGATTAAGCCAAGTTCCCGGCCAATGAGTACCATCAGCCATCCATGTTGCTTTCGGGACATCCACTGTCTGATCAGGTGGTAAAACTCCACCATTTTTCTCCTTAAGTAATTGCTTTTCCTTCTTCTCTTCTCTAGAATTATAAGATTTACTTCTTTTCTTTATCACCTCAGGAAGCCCATTGATTCTCACCTTAAATTCATCATACTCTCTCTTCATCCATCTTCTATCCTTTACAAAATCAGGCCGTTTCTTGTTCTTCGTAGGGTCTTTCTTTAAGTTGAAGTAAGCATCTGGATTTCTTGGTTCGATATTGTGTTTCTTACAAAACGGTACCCAAATCTGTGAACATGTGTTTTTTGTGTCATAATGAATCAAAACGGAGTAAAACATGTTACACTGTACCAAATATTATTAATGTCGTCTTTTTGATTCATATTGAACGAATTACTGATATGTTAAACATGATCAAACACACAAAAGTTCAGATAAATTAGACATTTACAACTACATAAATTATGACCAATACTTACACATATATGAAGTTATTTGGTAGTATCGAGTAGTATTTGACATTTAATGAAGTAACATTTGAATTTTTTTACTAAAACACTACTCAATCGTTTAATCGAATATCTTATGCACCTTACCACATTCTCAATGGATGTTTATTGAAGAGTATAAACAAACCTCAGCAAATTTAACAGCTTCAGCCATGGCTTCAAAAGTGAGAATAGCCCCACCATCATCTGAAATATAGCACGACACCTTTTCAATAGGATAGTCTACACAAAGAATCGAAAGAATGGTGTTCGCTGTGACAAGAGGCGGTTCCTTCTCAGGATCAGCCGTCGAAACAAAAACATCCATGCCAGGTAAATCCGACCGACCGGCCGGATTCGAAGGAGAAGGTTGATCAAACTTGTCATACAAGGCACCAAGGTCAGCACTTCGATTTATAGGGTTCAATTTGGGAAGTATATCAAGAAGCCACGAGAAAGCAAACCAAAGTTCACAAACAATTGATATCCCCCATAACCACATTGCATCATAGTTCGGATTCTGAACTCGCCAGGCTAAGAAAAATGCAAGAACTATCATACGCACGAAAATCAACAACCTGTATTCAAAGAAAAGTTATTTGTAAGCAATGCAGAATTTTGTTGTAAAAGCTAAAATGCAGAATTAATGTTTGAATTTGAATCAAAGTTTTGAACTTATGTGTTCACCAACAAATGCATAAGCTAAAATGTAACGTGACACGTCGACAGTGACACTGACACATCGACAATAGTAATAATTTAAATCAAGAAAAGTACCTATAAGGACTGAGTATAGCGCCTGGAATATTAACTTTCCTAGTTAATGGTTTCCAAGGTTTGTCCATAAAATCTGACATGCTCACTCCATCTTCTCCATAAGCATTTTCATCATCTTGCCAAAAAGCATTACCGATTCCATAAGTCCCTTTCGTCTCAAACAACCATCGATTATGATCGAAATCTTGTGTTTGGCTCCTTAATAGCATGGACTTGTTATTCCCCGAATTCAAAATCGACATTCTTCTATCCATTTTAGGTCCACCACCACCACCACCATCACCACCCCCGCTATTTCCTTGTTGTTGAGACTCCGAGGCGAACCTTGTTGTCCCGTATGATCCACCAGCACCATCCTGCTTGGAATCTGAGGTTTCAGGCTGGTTATCTGGTGTTAGTGGCATCATAACGGTGTAATTGATATAATCATTTTGGCCCGCGAACTCACCGGATAAATCAATATCATCATCTCTTGATAAACTCACAACCCTCCCGCTTGATGTCCGGCGATTAAATTTCACTCCTTGTGGTGGCCGGCCACCTGTGGAGGACGATTTTGGTGGCGAATTTGAAGATCTTGTCATCTCTTACATTCATGCATACATATGTTTATACATGTTGAAAGGTTTTGGAGTGTTTTGTTTGATGCAATCTAATGCAATGCAATGCAACGCAATGTAGTTTGTTATGTTTATTTTCTAGTAACAATAATTAAGGTTGTTAGAATATTGGTTGAGGAAACAAAGAACAAGAAAAAACATTGTTTTGAGAGGAGAGAAATTCAATGGTTTGAAAATGGTTTCTTTGAGAGATGTTTTGAGTTTACAAATTCTAACTCAGCGGATTTCATCTCCTTAATTCATGCTCTACCTCTCTAAAACAAACACACTCTCTTTCTGTTTCCTACTAGTTATAGGTTGTTATGAACAACTAAATTATTTTAGGCCTATAAAAATTTCACAATATAGAGAATTCTTTTATCATGACTTACAATTATCTTGCCATCAAATTAACTTAGATATCTTTGCATCTATGATTGTTCTATAAAAGTATAATATTGTTACTTAATTATTATATCATATAATTTTCTAATTAGTAGGAAATTCGTACACCGTATTTTTTACAATATACAATATATTTAGATATTTCTGTAAATTTAAAATAAATTATAATGTCCTCTCATTCGATGTACATTTGTGGTTTAATTTCTTCAGGTCTTGCTGCAAGGCTCGAAAAAGTTGTTGGTTCTGCAATGCATTATAACAACCATAGGGTGGCAGTAGAAACCGAACAACTGAGCATGGTTAGTAATGCATCTGTTTTGGCTCAATAAGTTACTTCAAGCTATCCGCGGAGAAATTTAAACTATAAAAGCGAGAGGATAGAAGATGATGGGATTGAAGGTTCAAATGGGATGCAACCAAAGCCTCGATACATAGTAAGGTAATTTGCTGCTGCTCAAGGCAGAACAGGTAGCCAGTGGTTTTTATTTTTCGATACACCGTAAAGTTTACGTGGCTTAAAACTGCTTTGTGCCATGAAGATCTTCTTGATGCATGGATTTCATGTGCTACACCTAATCTTAATCTTTGATGAGGATTTGGCAGTGTAAGTAAATAGTGAAATTTTTTGTATTTATATTCTTCCCTAATATCATTCTTTGAATCTCATTTTAAATTGCTTATATATATCGGAGAAGTTGACATGCCGTTGTTGTGTAGTATAGTATTATTGTCCATGTTCTCTTGATTGAAATACATGCAGGGACCACCCTATCTTTTATAGTGTTTTATTACATAAAACTCTATAGAATCAGATTATTTTCTAAACTATGTTTTTTCAAAAAACGAAAAGCATTTCAACCTAAGCAGAGTATATAAGTGTTGTCTTTATGTACAAATATAATTTTTCCTCTAAAGGGTTTCTGTGGAGTTGTGTTATATATAGAACTATCATGGCTTCTTTACAGGGCATGAACAAATCAGGGTTGGTATGATTTCATGGTATTGTTATACACTAATACAACACAAAATTAGTATATGCTCCTGAAAAGAAGATTTATGAACTTTATATTTTGCCGTTTTTTGTTCTGTAAATCTAAAATTACATTTTTATATTGTGAGGTTTTCAAGTTTGTCACTCGCTTGGAGGAGGCACAGGTTCTGGCATGGCTTCTTTACATTGTTAGATAGAAGGATTGTGAGTACAACTTCAATATACTGTGTTTTGTATGATGTCAAAATTGAGAAAGATGGTATAACAGTCAAATTAATTGTATCTCTTTGTCTTGTGACACTCCTCGGCATCATAGGTCTTAGGAACCATCAAAAAACACTTTGAAATTGATCAAACTCATTGAAAAACACTTTCTGCACGTTTTTGCCTTGCATGTGTCGACACATCCGAGTTTCAAGTCGACACATGTAACTTCGTTTTAAAGCCTGTGAGCTTATGTAAGCCACATGTCGACACATGCATCATAGAGGTTGACACATACTGAAAGATTTCTAAAGTTGCAGAAATTCTTATTTTATGTGTCGACACATCCATATTTCAGGTCGACACATTTACTCACGTTTTAAAACTTATAGCTACTGACTTGCTCGGGTCGACACATAGAGTCTTTCAGGTCGACACATGCAGCCTTTTTATAAAGTATGTGCCGACACATACAATTTTGAGGTCGACACATGAATTCTGTTTTGGTCAATTTTTCATTTTCTTATTCCGAATCTGTCCTTTTTGCCCTAAACTTTTTCAAACTATAAATACCCTTTCATGCATCATTTCTAACTTGATGATACCATAAAATTAGCCTATTTTTTATCTTCATCTTCAATCTTCCAATTTATGCATACACACCAAAATTACACTGTGATGATGTTCCCTCAGGGTGCCATCTAGACGAAAAATTGAAGATTTTTAATTGGTTTGGGTTGAGTTCTTGCAGGGGTCTTCATCCGTAAAAACCATTGGGTTTATCCTCCAACATCTTTATGTTGAATTGGGGGTTTTCGTACAAGATCGCGCGAGAAAGAATCGTCCATAAGAAAAATCCCTTAGAGTGTTTGAAACCTTTTCAAGGAACTTTAGAGTGGTTGAAATCTCTTTAAGGAAGTAGCAAGAATTGGATGATAGAATCGGTGATATTGTGCTGATAATTTACAATCGGATTTACTCGAGTGAAAAATACCTTGGAGTGTTTGAAATCTTTGTAAGAAATTTTGGGGTGTTTGAAATCCTTTTAAGGAAGTAGCTTAAGCGGCGAATAGGTTGCATCTATCCGTTGATTTATGTTGCTTAAGATCAAAGGTTGAAAGAAGGAGCATCCACGTCAAATTGGAGAATTTTGTATTGTTGTTTCTAACTCTTCCATTGTATTAAATATTTTGCATATAAGAATTATCCTAGTTCCATTGAAATTAGGCGTAGACGTACCCACACATGAGACCGACAGTGGGGAACTGTGTAGACCAATTCCTTGTGTCTTTTTACTTTTATGCTTTTACTTGCTTTCAATTTCATCAATCTTTTTATCAAATAGCATTGTGATAGTACTTGAATTGTAAGAATTTTTCTCTCAAAATATGTTTTTGAAATAAGTGTGGATATAGCTTATAATCAATTTTGATTATAAGTGGTTTTGTATACCAATACTACTCAAAGAGAAATTCTGAAAATCCACTTGTACGTCAAGTGTTTGATAAAACGATCAAGTTAGTTCTTTGACTATTTAGCCTTGAAAATAGCATTGCAAAATGATTGTGTTCAAACAATAAATAAGTGGATTGTTGATTTGAGTTTGTATTAATCAATTGCTCAATTTTATCTCATAGATTTATCTTTCATAATTTGTATATCTGAGTTTCCAATAAGTTGTTTTTTAGATGACTTATCTAGTTAATTGCTCTCACATCAAAAAGTTTTGAAAACAAATTAAATTCTAGATTTACTTCTAGAAATATTTTTTACGCCTCTATTCACTCTCCTCTAGATACGCGCCGTCGTCTAACAAGGAAAAGAAAATATAAATTTAGCTGGTAATGAACACTGTCATGTGTTATTTTTCTTCTTTAGATGTAACATTTAAATGTGAATGGTCATTGGTGCATGAGTCTTGTATGTAGAAGTCCATTCCCATTGGGTACATGTAAAAGACCATGTTAAGGGTTTCAATATCATTACGACGACTGCTGTGCATTTGTACCAATTTGTGGTTTGTGTGATTTTATACTAAAATTCTGTATAAATGAGCTTCGATACTTTGAATAATTTTGAAATAATTGATTATACTTACAGAAAAAAATATTCTGAGATTAATTACTTTAGAATAGTTTTTGTAGAAATTGATTACTTTATTGCTTGACTAATGGATTTGCTCGCGCTTAGACATGCCCTACATTATACTAATTGAGTAATTGACAGATCTATGAAGCTAAAAAAATAACAGTAGTTGGGAAAAGTGGAGGTAGGAAAATCCTGTGTTCAATTTGAGTGCCCCAGGTTTTAGGAATATACATTATGATGCATTCATCAACACATGTAAATATTTACTTCAGTTTTGACATTATATAGATATTTGTGATTTGAGGTTGAATGGTTATATAGTTGATTACACTTCATAATCTTTATACTGGTTTTGACTATTTTGCCATATGGATTTTTATTAGATATATCTTTTAAAATTGTACAAGTTGCCTACATAAAAACTTAGGTGTTGTGCCTATAACTTTATTTTGGATAGGATTTTTAGGCATATAACCTATTTAGATGTAGACTTATTTAATATATGATGGTCTCAATCAAAAATAGATTTCAAGTGACGTCAAACCTTTACAAATATCAAGTTAGAGGGACCAAGATTTGGTTGAGGTCTTAAATTGGGGAAATGAAAACATGCCTCTTCTAGATCTAACAAGAATGTAACATGGCCTAACTTAAAATTTTAGTAAGGTTTGATGTTTTTGGTTTTTATCATTCACAGGCATGGCACCTATGTGACCCTATGCAATAAGTTCAAGAATGTTATGCATCAGTTTATGTGACAGTTAAAGATGACGATTTATTAAGGTCCTTGCAATGTTTGTGAAATACCAAGTTCACTCAATGATTATCTTAATAATATGTTGCTGTATAGATGAGTGTGTTTGCTGCAACCTTCAATTTTACATCGAATATCTTATCATGCATTTCAATTAAAATTAGGGTAATTAAAACCGGACCAAACCGACCAGTCTATTCAATAACCGGACTTACACTCGATTAATTTTTCACTAATAACTGCTCTGCACACAAACCGGACAGTTAACCACTTACATTACATTTTGATATTAAAATTATTATTAAATTTATTAATTTGGTGTGTCGTACTATATTATTAAATTCAAAGTTAATATATATTAATTTTGTACATAATTAATAAAATATATATTTGTCATCAAAATTAATTTAAATTATTTTCTTTTTCATTAGTAATTTACTATTTTAAAATAAACACTAGTAACAAATCCGTGCTATCGCACGGGTCTCGTCTGGATTCACATTACATTTATAGATTATTAAATTATTAAGTATGTTACCATGT